GGGGGCTTGGTGTTCGAGACAACTTGGTCTTTTTTATATTCTAACTACGTTAATAGTACAGGGGTTAGAGCGGATTGGTTTTTCGATAATAAAAGAATTATGTACCAGCGTCTGGGGTGTAATTGTTTGCGCTACATCTCTGATGAAAGACAAATGAACTCAGTACAGTATCTTCTTCCACAAAGAACTGAATTCATATAGTTTTACATGGAAAGACAAACAGCATAATAATGATTATACTACTGTCACCATTTCTCAGTTGTCTGACTTTAATATAATGTCATCTTGCTTAACCCCCCCCTCACTTCCCTCAGACACCAGGACATCCTGACGTCATCGGAAACTGAGCCCCGCTTTGACCTAGAGTTCCACCACGCCGCCGTGCATGTGTTTTGCGGGGGCACCATGGGACAATTGGACACTGCGGCCTTTGACCCTATCTTTTTCCTTCACCACTCCTTCGTGGACTACCTGTGGGAGTTATTCAGGACCAACCTCCGCAGTCTCGGCGTCGACCCACAAGTCTACCCGGATATCGCCGTAAGAAATAGTGTATCTCTCATCGCTAAAACTTTGATAACAAGACTCGTGATGCCATGGTGTGATAGACACCTCCCTGCCTCGCCCAAAATATTGTTGTTGATGTTGCTACTATTTATTAAGTGACCGTTGCTGTTGCTTCAGTTGTTGTTGTAGTTGTTGTAGTTTTTGTTGTTGTTGTTGTTGTTGTTGTTGTTGTCGTTGTTGTTGTTGTTGTAGATGATGTTGTTGTTGATGATGATGATGTTACTGCTACTGCTGCTGTCGTCGTTGTTGTTTTAATTGTTGTTGTTATTGACGCCAACACAACGCTGGACTTTTTAAACCGCAATTTTGATGACCACCTTGAAAAATAGCTTTCTTATCTAGCAGGGTGCCAAAACTTATACAAAAACTAAACTTTAAAATACCCTAAATCTCCCACTCCTCAGGATATGGACTCTCGCCACCACAGCACGGCGTCCACAGGATTTGGCAACATGACCCAGCTGGATGGTTACAGCGACCTTATCACGGAGACTTACGAGTATGAGGCAGCCCCCATTTGTACCTCTAGATTCCCGGAGTGTGGATCCAGGTAATACACCAACAGCTTCGACTTTCTTCTTTTAAAAGTGTCAGATCAGAAACGGACTTCTATGGCCACGGTTCGCAATTCTCTGCTCGGGTGATTTTTTTTAAAGACCTATTATTATTATCCCGGTTTTGACCATCACCTATCTGTGAAAGTTCTCGAAGCTATTCTTTGCTGATCTCAGTTTCTTCTGCCTTCTATTTTTTCCAGTGAGAGTATGATGTTTAAGGCATTTACGTCGATTCAAGATATGTCTGTACATATATTAGTTCTCCGTTTTGTGATTTAAAAGAATTCTCATGATTTAAGTTATCGTGTAGGGAAATGACTAGTGATCAGACAGTGCAGTTGGTATTATTCGGAAGTTCTTTGCGAATGACCCAGTTTGACCGTCAACATACATCGACATCGCAAGCGTTACTAAGTTATTGAACTGAAGGTGTCACTCAAGGTCCAGTTAAAAGGTGTCTTAGTCCTGGACAAGATTCAATCTCTGACTCTGCAGGGTAGAGTGTCACATCTTTGCAGTAGATACTGCACTACAATCTCTTTTCACTCTGTTAGAATGGATACAGTTGGCAGCAGGCAGGCGTGAACGTATGATAAAAATATTGAGTAAATATTTTTAGGCCCCTTTCAGGCCAACAAAATAATATTATTGCTTGACCTGTACGCTTCGTTACTGAAAACGTATCTGTAAGCCATTTTCCGCCCCCC